GACCCCAGACCCCCACCAGACCCCCTCAGGGACCCCTCCCAGTGCCCCTGGTGACCCCAGTGCCCCCCCAGGCAGTTTCGGGGTGTTCTGGTACCTCTTCTGGGTGTTGGTGTCCTACGAGAGCCCTGCCCAGCACCCCACGATCTCCCCCGAGGAGCGAAAATACATCGAGGAGAGCATCGGCGAGAGCGTGGGCAGCAACCCGCTGCTGGTCAGACTGGGAGCACTGGGATGGGCACTGGGGGGTCACTGGGGGCACTACTGCCACTACTGGTCAGACTGGGAGCACTGGGAGGCACTGAGGGAGTCACTGGGGGTCAAGGGTCATCGGGGGGTCACAGAAGCGTCACTGGGGCCACCACACTTGGGGCCACCAAGGGCACAAACAAGGTCCGGGTGCTTCATCCCGTGGGAATTGCGGCCGGACCCGGACTGGAAGTGGCATGGGGGTCACTCCTGCTGGTCAACTGGTCAGTGGCCACTCCCTTTCCACAGCTGGCCACGCCCTGGCGCCACTTCTTCACCTCAATGCCCGTCTATGCCATCATTGTGGCCAACTTCTGTCGCAGCTGGACCTTCTACCTGCTGCTCATCAGCCAGCCAGCCTATTTCGAGGAGGTCTTTGGCTTTGAAATCAGCAAGGTTGAGCCACAAAACCCCCACAAAACACCCCAAAAACCCCCACAAAAATATCCACCAAAACCTCCCCCCCAAAATCCCCCAAAATTCCAAAATCCCCTCAAACCCCTGTGCAGGTGGGGCTGCTGTCAGCGCTGCCGCACCTGGTGATGACCATCGTGGTGCCCATTGGGGGCCAGATCGCCGATTTCCTGCGCTCCCGGGGACTCATGTCCACCACCAACGTTCGCAAGATGATGAACTGCGGCGGTCAGAGAGGGGACAGGAGGGGACATCAGGGGGGACACGGGGGGGACAGCAGGTGACAATGTCCCCCCCACAGGGTTTGGCATGGAAGCCACACTGCTGCTGGTCGTGGGCTACTCCCACTCCCGGGCCGTGGCCATCTCCTTCCTGGTGCTGGCTGTGGGCTTCAGTGGCTTCGCCATCTCTGGTGGGGACAGGGAACAGAGGGACGGGGGGTGGGGACAGCAGGGGACACACGCGTGACACCCCTGTCCCCCTCCCAGGCTTCAACGTGAACCACCTGGACATCGCCCCGCGCTATGCCAGCGTCCTCATGGGGCTGTCCAACGGCGTGGGGACACTTTCCGGCATGGTGTGTCCCCTCATCGTGGGGGCACTCACACGCCACAAGGTGCGGGGACAACACGGTGGGACAGTGGGGGGCTTGGGGGCAGCAGAAGCCAGGGAGAGACAGTGGGACATGAGGGGACAGTGAGACATGAGGGGACAGTGGGACATGGAGGGACAGTGGGGTCAGAGGAGACAGTGGGACATGTGAGGGGACAGTGGGACATGCGGGGGGACAGTGGGACATGAAGGGACAGTGGGGTCAGAGGAGACAGTGGGACATGTGAGGGGACAGTGGGACATGAGGGGACAGTGGGACATGCGGGGGGACAGTGGGACATGAGGGACAGTGGGACATGGGGGACAGTGGGACATGAGGGGACAGTGGGACATGGGGGG